GAGTGTCTTGATACAGATGTTTTCAGATGTTTAAGTCTTTTTTGAAAAATTTCTTCATTTAATACTCCATTTGTGCAATACAAAGTATCTTCTGTATTTGGGATATCATTTGCTCATTAGCACTTTGTCCTTTCATGCAAGTATCTTCCCCGACAGAACAGGAGACAGCTTCTCCCTGGTGTCTGGTCACCATTTATTATCCAAGGAATCTGAGACTAAAGCTGGAGAACAGCTCATGGGCCATGACCTAGAGACAGTTCAATTCAGTAGTTAGGGGAATTTCATGTGAAATCCAAGTTCTGTAGATAATTTCTTGGCATGAAATCAAATATTCTTTTTTTTCTTCAGATCCCTTCAAAACAGCTTCCTCTATCTGCATCAACCCCCTTGCCTTGCTTACAAAATGTAAATGCTAATTTCCTTCCCTCTCTTGCTTCTCAACAATGAAACAACATTACATATAAAATAAGCTTACTGTGCAATGAAATTGCAATCCATTTCAAAGTTAGTTGTATAAATCTCAAAACTAAACCTCTCCTAAATCTCTCCAGGTTTGAAACTGAGATCAAGCCACAAAATAATTATATTGCTAATTTAAAATCTATGTTTTGTATTTCATTTATCTTACATGAAAGTCTCGTTTCCTACAGTGGCACAGACAGGATGAACTGGTTGACCCATCAGATAGATACTCAGAAGAGAAGCTTTTACCCCTCTCACCGAGCAAGAGCAATTTCAGCCCTGGAGGGAACAGTGTGGTAGCACTTCCCATGCCCTCCCGTGGTGCCTCTGTGCCTGCATCTGCCTGCCCAGTCCCATCTCTGCAGGGGAAACCCCTTAGTGGAAGGGCCTGAAGTTTGTGTGCCTCTGCCTTCCACCTGTGAGTCTCCCTGCAAATTCTTCCTCTCATCAAACTGTCTTTTTTCCTGGATTGCCTTAGCTCTACCCAGCCATACTTTAAGACAGTTACAAAGGCAAGGGCTAAAAAATCTGAGCCTTGGGTGACCCACTCGGCCATCTGTCTCTCCTCATTTGTTTTTTGAAAGCCCGTGATGTACAAATAGTATGAGAAAAGGGCTGGGTTTCTAAACACCTGCCAAATGCAAATCCTGCACTTTTAGCTGCCAGCACTGCATTTAAAACATACTACACTAAGCTGTGAACAAATAGATTTGTTTAACAAACAAGTTCAACACAGGAATAAATCTGTCAGCCATAAATCATCTGCAATCTCTCTCTAATGAGAACATGAGGCTTAAGACTATGCAGGATAACTTTCTGCTCAGCTGGTGCACTAATGAGCAGCAATTTTTGCTCTCACAGAAAAGAATCCCTATGAGGATGAAAAATGTGTGTGCATGAGAGCTAACACACAGGGGTGTTGAAGGTCACCATCTCCAGAAAATTTCCATTTTATTTCTCCCATTTATTTTTCTTCTGAAAGTGATTTTCTATGCTTCTATTTAATTTATGACTGGTTTGATTAGATCAAGTTGAAAAAGGTTCTATTAATGCCTGAGACGGAAGGATTTCTTTTCAGAGGAAAAAAATAGAAGCAATTTTTTTTTTTTTTTTTTTTTTTTTTTGCTAAGGAGTATAAGCACACTGAATTGTGAGTGTCCTCCTCTGCCTGGGCTCAATTCTCTAGATCACATAATCATTGCATTCACTACCAACATGATGAGATCTGTGAAGAGGAAGGTGTTAATACTCTTTTTCTCCATGGCCTCCTACATCTGATACTTCTCTGGCAGCATCCCCTTTCATGCCTAAGTTAGGACTGACCACCACCTGCTAACACATTTTTAAATGCCATCAAAATAACACTAGAGGTGTTAAGAGTTGCCTGCTGCATCACCAAACTCCATTCTAAAGCTTCTCTTTCACCTCCTCCTGGCTGCTTGCTGGTTTTTTACAGAATGCCCTGCATCTGTGATTTGTAAATGATCCATCATCTTTCCCAGGAACAGGGAATTTTGTGATTTTTTTCAGCCAGGAGATTCATCTCAGTGCTTGTCCAATTTTAACAGTTCTCCATATGAGTTTGAAGCAGTATATCTTGTTTGTTCAGCATCCCTTTGAAGTGATGTTCATTTCTCCAGTTTCTCTGAATTGGAGATGGTAACTGCATAAACTCATTGCAATTTACACTGGAAGAGTAAAGCCCTTATTTATACTTCAGATCTGTGTCCAATATATGAAGATTCATAGTAAACCAAGCTCATTCTGTAGTCAAGCAAGTTTAGGCTTTCTCACCTACCAGCTCATACAGTAGACCTGCTTCAAACATAAGCACTGCTGATAATTTTAACTTCTTACTTTCCTTCCACTTCTCTACTGAATTTCCCAGGTTAGCCTGTTCTCACCCTATTGACTGCCACAGAGAAGCTAAGTGTTTCAGAAAGCGAGGTTTCTAGCCTTTGAATTATTTGGTTATTCTTTCACAATTATTTAAATGCAAGTTATTAATATCATTATAATACCCTCATAAACCCTAAGATGGCATGTTACTTTACAGATACCAGCCATGAAAATACTGCAATAATGAGTAACAGGGCAGGTTTTCATTACACTTTTCTTGACATTCCTTGTCATTACATTCTGCAATCAGTTAAATTTAGTGTAGGGAGGATGTGTGTTTAAATATACCCTGATGAACATGTCTTCCGGGACTTAAATAGTAGTGCAATCTTCCCTATTTGCCCTAGCAGATATATTTTTAGTGCTGCTGCTCACTAGTTTTCAACCTAACTTCAGAACAGGCTCTTCAGATAGCATTCCTTTTCAATATTTTTGTTGCCAACTTTTCAGCTTCTATGGCATAGTTAGCAAGTGTTTGCTTAAAATGAGCTAAAAAATACTTATTGAATATTATGTAGAGAAAAGCACAAAATCATGAAAAGCACCACATGCTTGGATAGTTGAGGGCATACATATCTGCAATGTTTGTTCTCTTGCCTCATGGTGAAGAGCTACTCTTCTCTACATTATTAAAACTGCTATTTTTAGGCCTTTAATTAAGAGTCTAGTTTGAAACAGGGCATGCCAACTCTATTATGTATATTTTCTCAAACACAGTACAAACACAAGCAACAAATAGCACAAAATTAAGAAACAAAGCCCCAAACATTGAATGCCTGATGTATTTGGTATCACCTGACCTGATCAAAACTCTGGTACAGGAGCCTTTACCTAGCTCACTAGTGAAAATATAGATATAGCTACACAGATGTTAATGCAGAAGGAAGCTGAATTAAAATAAAAATTAAAACACACAGGGACTAAAGGAAAGAGCACAAATATCTACCCTATGGCTAGGTGGCAGTCAAGACTGATAGAGGTTTAACTGAATCTGAAAAGCAGGCAGTCAGACAGCAGTTAGAAGCAGACATGTTTGACAATTAATAGTGACTTGGTCACCTAACACTCGTTAAATAGGATAACCAGATGGTCTAGGAGGGCTTTCTGTGTATATGAAGGCACCAGCAGAGATACATTACAAGCAATTAGCAAGCTAAACTCACCCATTAAATCTAATATTAATGAAATAATAATCCTTGGCTCAAGCTTTATATGTGGGGTTTTTTTCCAAAACAAAACAGAGCTGAAAGGACTTGTTATACCAATGCAGCCCACTAGAGGTCAAGTTACAACCAGAAGTTTAAAATATACTTAGTAATAAAGGGCAAAATTTAGGCCACCATCCTCATGTATTACTAGATTCATTCAGGGTGCCACGTGTATCAAAAATCCTTCAGAAAAAACTCTGGCATACTGAGATACAAAGCAGATTAAATAATTGTTCCCATACTCCATTATATAATTGTTCCCATAATCCATTAATTAGATGGATTGGATTATTGGACTGGAGAAGTTTTCTTTATTAAAATATCATGGCATGAAGACTCTAAGTTCTGTTTTAGACCAGCTTGGATGTTTAAAAATAGTGACAATGGTGAACTAAACTAAAACCAAAACCTCAAGACTTGATATGTCTGATACAACAGAAGAGCTCTAATCCCTCTGTGTAAAAGACACTAGCATCACACATCTGATCATACAGAAGGGCTGCATCAGAATCTTATAAAACAAAGCATACATAAATACAAACTTGGCAAAAATGGAACATCTCCATGCCTAATCAGAAATCCTGTAATAGCACATTGTGAATACAGAAGGAATGCCTTATATTTGAGTGATTTCTAAACATTTGATATCTTTGAGTGTATGATGTCCAGATACAAATCAAAGGTATCTCATAAACACCCATCCTCTGTGCAGTAGGAGGCTCATCTAACAGAGCTGTCAGCTTTGTAAAGCTCCAATTTAAATTTATCTATTTCCCATGTTATGCTTCCCACTTGGACAAACAGAAATGTTTGCAATTGCAGCCTTCTGACCACAGAACAGTTTCCTGACACATAGGTAGCCTGTAACCTAAAGCATCTATCCAGCAAAATTCTACTTACAATTTTACAGGAAATGGCAGCAGCTAAGACAATGTCCCCAGACCAGGGTAAGAAGAGATGAGCAGTGAAAACCTGTACTTGCTCACCTGTTTCTGTGAGGAATCATACTAAACAAACAAACAAAAAAACCTAAGCAAAATCTCCCAAAACCAGAAGAACAAAGCAATAAAGGTCAGCTTTTGCCTTACAATTCTGTACAGGAAGGAGACCATTAATGACTAGACTGCATCATATCAGAGGTACCCTCTGAACGGTTCAAATTGAGCTGGAAGTGGTGTTGCATTTCCTGAACACCCATGAAGGGGTACAGAACTAGTGTCAGCCTAAAGATCATAGTATATAACCCACAGCCACTGCACTAAACTGCTTTCATCTACTCTTTCTGCTTCAGTGGCTCCAGATGCTTAACTCAACTTCCACTGTAACAAAGGTGGCATAAGGCAACTACACAGAGAACACAGTTCTCTTTGGGTTATGTACTAAAAGAATCAGTGCTCCCCAAACACTCTGAGTTGTTTTACTACATCTCACCTCCTCAACCATATGCTTGACTTTCTTCTGCTGGCAGTGAACCATGTCATCCAGATGCTTGATCCGCTCTCTCAAGCTGGCTGCTACCTCCTCCAAATGCTGTGACCTGGCAAAACAGGCAAAGATCAGGCCTGTAAGTGGGGAGCTATGCAGTATAAGCAGAACAAGAACAACCCCCACAATCCATCATAAATCAGGACAGGCAAGTCAAATTGCACTGACAGATGTCAAATTGTCCAAAGTACATTTTAATGTGATATTAGTCCAAGTGGCAGTCTCCACCCAAGTTATCTCACCTTTGTCTTGCATACTGACATGGTTACTCAGAGCCTGAAGTGCTGACAATTAAACAATGTGACAAAACTCATCTCAAGATGTGTTTTCCTTTAGTGAAAGGCTTTTAGACAACTAGATCTTTAGCTTCAGAGAGACACATTTAGCCTGACTTATTACTACCTGCAAATCTTTTGAAAATATGTGCTAAACAGAAGCCAGGAAGCAGGTCTGCTTTCAAAGCTGTCTTACTGCAGGGGAGCCTTGAGTCAAGAATTTGGCAGAGCTGCCAACAGCAGCAGAATGCTAACTGGAATAGTATTAACTCCTCAGCAGTCAGCAGGAATGCTATGAATGGTTTACATTTGTGCATACAACTCTTCGGATAGATTCTGCATTTCTTCAAATCTGTTTAATACAGAAAGTGAACTCCCACAGAACTCCTGCCTCAAGCTGGTTTGGCAGCTTGTCAGAAAAGTAGCTGTAGAATATGCAAGGAAACCAGAGTGAAGCTTCTCCATAAGTTTTTGTCTCTTTGGCCATGGGAGTCTCCATTTTTATCTGAATGTCCAATTCTTAAAATTTGTCAAAGAAAGCAATTTCTTGCTTACAAAATAAACTGCTGTACTCCTAGGTTCAGGACTGGACAGAATTTGAGAATGGGAGGAGGGGAATCAAAAACAAAAAGGCTTTTTTCATCTTGGTCTGTGCACAGCAGAAAAAAACCTGTTAAAGCTGCAAATAGAAAAACGATTCTAAGACAAAGCAGCAGATGGCAAACTGTAAGACATGATTCCAGTGAATGACTGAATTGTATGCTGTTTCCCCCCAAAAGAATCTCTATTAACAGTGAAGTACTCTGCAGAAATGTAACTGCAGCTCTTTGACAAGGACTCAAAAAATTCAAAGCATTGCTGCAAGTTTTTCAGTTGTGTGTATTAACATCTCATAAAACTTTAATTTATATTTTAATTGCAATTGTAGCACATATTTTGTATCTCATTGGAAGATTCAGGATCTTAAGCATTGATAGCAATGGAGAAATGGAACAGACATCCTTCCTAAGGTGGAGCTTGAGTGTCTGAAAAGGTTCAGACAGGTAAAGACAACTTAAGAATAAACCAGCATAATCTGAACACAGATTCATCACTTGCATGGCATAGATTGCAACTGTGAGCTCGCTTGCATTGCACAAATTCTGCCTGAACACTGCCTTTACCCTTTTACTGCAGCATAACTTTTCACAGTGAAAAGGATTCATTGAAGCAAGAAGTGTCTGTGTTATTCAGAGGTAAAGGAAAACAGCAATTATCTTTCATCTCCATATTCTATGTTGTATGCGAGCGACATCTGTTCCCTTGGAGTTATTATTTTAACAGGCTGCTGTGAAAAGCCATTCTTGCTCTGAAACCAGAGAAGCTGGTCACAGATCAATACAAGGCACTGAGAAGCTCTCAGCAGGGATCTCCTTTCATGTTTATGTTTCCCAAAGAACAGCAGGAAGCCCAAAACCTTAAAACTTAATTTCTGGGTGCCACAGAACCATAAGTAGTAATCAAGTACTATTATTCAGTCTCTGGTTATAATTCATCTTTACCCGCTGAAGCAGTGTCATATACATCTTTGAGTTTAGCTAGTGAAAGTATTCATAGTCAGGATCATACTCTTCTGAATTTGGGAATGCAGGTTTAAGAAAAATGCAAGCCACAGATATGTCATAGCTTGTTCCACCTACAATGGACTCCACACATTTGCAAACAACTTTTCAGAAAAGATGCATGAAGGTGGTCATTCTTGCAAAAAATAATTGTCTTGATATTTTACATATCAATAAGCCTACATTCAGATAGACAATCCCTACCAGACTGCAGTTTTAATGTTAGAAAAGGCAAAATTCAGATGTCTACAAAAGCAAAGAAACCCTTCAAGTTTCCTAGCAATAATAGAAGTTCCACAGGCAAGTCATATCTCACCTTTCACTGTCAGAGTTGTTTTCAGATTTTGCTCCAGATATTTGTAGTTCATTTAATTCAAGTTGTTTTTGCAACTGGTGACGTTCCTAAACAACAAAAGTTATCCTTCAGTTCTCCATCTATCAAAATGTGAAGGCTTCACAAAGCATATTTCATTGCAATTCAAAACATCATTTGTGAAATTAAAATAGAAACTGATTAAACAAAATTCATGCATTTCCTATAGCCAAGGAGGACAGAATACATAATAATCAAAATCAATTTCCCAGCTATGCATGGAAACTAGTTCAGTTTCAATTTCCTATATGAAGATATGCAGCTATACTTGAAACTGGATTTTTTTCAATAAAAAGATGAGTCATCAAAATCTTTAACTACATAAAGTCAAATTGCCCACATTATCACTCCAAAAAGAACTCCCAAATCCAAGGCTTAGATAAAAGATACTGCTGCATTTTCTTCCCCCAGAGTATTCCTGTTTATTTTTAGGTGCCCACCAGCACAGTGCTTGTGAAGATCTGTGAGGATTTAAGGTCTGAGTCAAACAAGTTAACAGAGAAGTGTAAGTGTGTTATCCACCTTGATGGGAATTTAAGAGGCATTCAGTCTCACTCTGGTGAGTGTGAGCCAGATAAGAGCAGATTAAAGAACTAATGTGAACTGTACTGCAATCCTACATTCACTGCATAATACTTAAAAGTTGTAGGCTGAAGCCCAGATTAAGTTAATGGAGCCACTAGAGGGGCATATTATTAGGTTGAGTAATTTTTCAGTAAAATCATTAATTCTACTAATGGATTTGCAAGCATTAGACAAAAGGCACTCAATGCACATTAGACTAACCAGTCAAGCCAACAAGACTGGCTTGTAAAAACGTATTTCTCAGTAGGTACTGATATGAAATATGTACTACAATAAAGTGAAATTGGTGAAAAAAACCACTTCATTTGAAAGAGCAGAAGATTGTACTCCCTCCACTGACTAAAACACTGTCTGCTCCTGTATTTGAGACAGTGAGGCACGAATCTTTAAAGATGAGATGCCTGCTATTGAATGCAATGAGAAATGCCAAAGTACACCCAAGACCATTTCGTAGTCACTGCAGCCAAGGCTGCCCTTGAGCTTCACATTCCCCAGCAGCTCCTCCTTGTTGGTGAGAACAAGATCCAGAACCTCTCCTCAACTGGAGACTAAAGTTATCATCAACACATTCCAGAAACCTGGATTGCTTATGCTCTGCTGTGTTGTCCCTCCAAATGATGTCAGGGTGGTTGAAAATCCCCATGAGGACCAGGGCTTGTGAACAAGAGGCTGCTCCCATTGCCTGTAAAGGGCCTCATCCTTTCAGTCTTCCTGGCCGGGTAGCCCCCCAGTCTGATGTCACCTGTCCCTGCCCTCCCTTTGATGGAGACCCTACAGGGCCAGGATTAGCTTCTTATCCATCCCCAGACAAAGCTCTGTGCTTTATGGACCTACCATAGCAACATTTAGAAGAGACTCTGGGTCATTTATGATTATTACTTGATTAGGCTTAAGACACCTTGCACACTGAAGAGACACTGAATGGTTTTTAAATTCTCTCTTTAAAATAATGGTTCATTTCCTAAATAAATGCTGCCCTGTAAGGACCATCAGGAAGAGAGAACCACCACCTCATCACAGGGTCTGTCTGGCAGTCCAGGTGAATTTACTGATATAAATACAGTAACGAAGATGCAAACAGCAATGGTATGTCACTGAGCAGGGAGCTGAGCAGCAGAACAACAACTGAAATTTCCTCCATGCACTTGGTGCAGTTCCTGTTGAGGCAGCAGTCACCTCTCCTACCTCTTCCATGCGTTCAATCAGCCGGTCCAGCTCACCAATTCTCTGGTCTTTCTCCTGTATGCTTGTTTCTGTAACCTGCATCTTCTTATTTGCCTCTTCAATAGCCTTCAGAAGCTGATTTGTTTCCTCCTAGAAACAAGAACATTTACAGTCACATTAGCATCTAACATATTAATGAGGAATATTTCTTCTTCTTTTTGGCTCTAGGGCCAGGCTAGTAGCTCTAAAGAGCTCAAAGCTTTTCACTACACCTGCTCAGAAATCAGAAGAGTTATGATCCTGAGAGTGAATTACATAGAGCAAAGACTGGGGGTACTTTGAAATACACAGGTATTAGTAAAGCATCATTATGACAATCCAAAAGAAACTTTTACCCATTTCTTAGATCACTGATTTCCCTTCCCCTTCCCCAAGGATGTGTTAAATAACAGCATGAGAAAAATATGCTGCTGCAAAATACAGCTTTCTAAACACCATAGTTGGCCATGTTCAGCTTTGTACTTTCCTTAGACGTAAAGCAATATGAATAAAAAGGAGCATCTATCTTCAATCTCCATCATTATCTGATTCTATAATTTAAAAAAATGCAACAATATACTCTTCATAGAAAGGTTTAACTTGGGGGTGGAGGGAAATTGGGGGACAGGAGAGTTCTTGTTCCAGTAGCGTCCAGTGACGTTCTCCTTTCTCCTTCTTAAACTGTCACTTGTTAAATTTGGACATTATATTTTCCTTTTTTAGAGAATCAGAAGTTAAAAAAGCCTACTTACCCTGTTTCAGATTTTGAAATCTAGATTATCATTGATATTACTATGTTTGAACACATATTTTTCTTTGTCCTATAACCCCAAATGTTTGGGAAGCTTAGTAACTATGGCACGACTAATCAGAGAGGCAGGAGTGAAGGAACTTGCATCAGCTCCAGAGTATGAAGTGACTGAGAAATGGCATCCAAGCTAAGCACTGCTCTTACAGACTGGCTGTACATACCAGCAGCATTTCTTTCTCAGCCTTGTGTTTCTGTTCCTCTTCTCGCATTTTTTCCTCATACTGACTATACAACTTTCTGGTCATCTCTCTCATGACTTCAGCATTGGCTTCCTGCGATGACTCCACCTGTGAGAGAGGAGGGTTGCCCCATCAGTAAATACAGTATTGCTGGCAGCAGGAGAAAGAGAGTTCACATGATGAGAAAATAAGAGTTTGAAGTTAAGCTCCCCCTTGTTATAAATCTGGCATTGCAAAAGTAGATTTCCATTTGCATCAAGACCATTTACAGCATTCTGCCAGTATTCACTTAATTTGAATCTGTAGAAGTTACTGTTCTCTCAAGTTCCATGTTGTCTGCAATTATCTTATTTAGTCATTGCTGATCCAAGATCAGGCCATGCCTCTTTGCTGAACCATTCCATAACAGCCTCCAAGTCACTTGGTTTGTTTCCCTATTGAAGCAATATTGTCTCCCCCCACTCTACTGAAGCGTGGACTAGAGGTGGACTAGACTCAACTCCTCTTTCTGAATGACCATGAACACTCAAAGCAATACTTTATTGCAATACCCTCCCTGCAATCAAACTGAAAATTAGAATTCGCAGGCATGTGGAAGGGTTAATTTTTAACAACAGAACCAGAAACTTTACTAGAGCTATGGGGAAGAAGGCAGAATGGTAATTCAGAGACAGGATTTCCTGCTGTTGGCTGAAAACACTGACTGAAACACACCCTCAGTAATTAAACACCAGATAGGATATTCACAGCTTAGGTCCATCTACTATGTAAACCACAATAAAATTGAAGTAAAACAGTTAGTACAGAACTTAGTTCTCCTCCTAGAGATGCTGTGAATCAGCCAAGGTTACAGTGAAATGCTGTGGGGGCTACAAAAGTGACAGGAAGAGGAGGAATAAAGTGCTCGCTGCTGATCACCACACTTAACACAGATACAAAATACAGAGTTCTGATGATTAAGGTTTTAGGTTGGATTTTTTTTCTATTTCATGGACCAAAAGGTTTAGTAAACCCTTGGGATCATCTTGCATGGCAGAAACAAGCTGGTTTAGTACCCTGTAGAAAAACAACAGTGTGTTTCATTCTTTGAAAAGGGATGAGCCCTGGAGGACTCCACTTGTACTGCAACTGTCCCCTCTGTCATCTCGCCTAGGCCAACCCTGGGGCACAGGTAGTCACCTGCACTTTATGAGAGGGTGTGGAGTTAAATGAACCTTCCACATTTCAGGAAGCCTGAAAGAATCGTATCATTTAGAGAAAGCCAATCATTAAACCCCAGATTCCTTAAGATACACTGCCCTGGAACAGGATCTCTGGCCTTTTATCTCCATCACTTCTTCCCTTACACCTTGTGCAATGAGGACAATGAGTGAAAACTAGCATTAAAAAAGTGGATGTATCAGGGCATCTGTAATGATACACTTAAGCAACATCTCCACTGTAAGTTATTACAGATTTATGAATAAACCAAACCTTAATAAGCCCCACAGGTGTGTTCTCCACCCACAATGTAATCATGGTATACAGTAGTTACTGCTTTTCAACACTAACCTCCCAGATCCCACACCATTCCCTTACTGCTAGAATGAATTCCCAGAACTCTTGGCACCTTTTGAGACATAATTTTATATTTAACTGTCAAAGACAGTAATGAGGTATATTTTTCACTAACTTGGTAGTAAAACTGGAAGTGTCATGGCAAAATTTACACTTTTGCTGTGTAAATGCAGGGCCTGTATTCTGCAGAGCTTGACATGCTTGAAGATAAACAAATCCTTATGCATTCAGTCAAACTGAGACTTCAGCTGCAGTTCCTTGCTCTTAGAAGCAGACTATACCTTTCCCTGACTTGCTTGGGCCTGTCCTTAATATTATAGTGAAGCCCAAATTTCTGTTTTAAAATCTTAATTGCATCATATTTGCATCTGTTACTTGGTTTTTCCCTCTTTTTATTTCCTGCTGACAACCACAGGTGCAAAATACAGCTACTTTTATAGCCTGTAGAGCTTCACTGTGAGTGGAAAGCAGAATATGAAGTGCACATATGTTTTCTTGTTTAACCATTCATCATTAAGCATGAGTGCTAGTCACTAGCAAAACGGCCAGAAAGACACCTTTTCTCTCAAGATTAAACATGAATATAGCTGCAGTCACCTTAATTTCAGAAACTTTATCAAAAATAGAAACTAATTTTTCAAAATTTGATGAATTCTGATGTAGTACTATATCCCAATTGGTCTGCTTTGAGCAATTTTAACAGAGACAAAGGTTTTCGGGGAGGAGAGGGTATTGTTTGTTTTATGTTGCAGCGTGCTTTTCGGTTTTTTGTAGGCTTGGTTTTTTTTGAAATTAAAGGAATCATTTAGGTGATGAGGGGAGAATATGGTCAAGCTGTCTGTCGTATTAAACCTGTTTTATTCCCTTGCATTTCTCTGAAAGAAATAGCTTAATTCTCTTTTGAAGATGCTTGCTGTTACCTGCTGACCACATGCTCATAAGACTTAACAGACTACCTATTAAAAATGGTGCAATACCAAAGAAACTCAACACCAAGAAATTCAGGTAGCAATGTGCAGAGTTGTAATATTCCTTTACTTAATAGGAAAGGACACTAATAACCATTTAATGGTTTGAATTTTCACCTGCCAACATCTCTCACTCTTATGTTGCATCCCATGTTATGGGAAGACTGCCTGTCACCAGCTGAGATTCTTTGTTATTAAACCAGTATTGATTCACAGGAACAAGGGAGTTCGAGGGCATGGCAAGGGCATGAAGAATGAAGAACCCTTTACAGATAAGGCCAAGGAATTCATTTAACATCCACCTGATGCCCTTACTGTGCAGTATTTTTGGGGGAGTTTGTACAGCTCACCTTTAACTTCAGTAACTGATTTTCAATTTGTGCCGTTTCCAGTTGCTTTTGCTTCTCTCTCAACTTTTCCATAGATTGCTCATGTGTATGTTTTAAATTCCTTATTTGTTCCCTTATGTCTGTGTTCTCCAATGTAACATCCACTAGAGTTTTCTAGAAGAAAGAGGCAAAGCACATCTTTAAAATCAGAAATAATTTGATTAATTAATATAGGCAAGATATTATGAAACAGGACATTTAAAGAGCTTTCTGACACATTAATTCAGTGTGAAGAGTTTTGCAAGTTTTAACATTTAAAATTATGGCTTTTGCTGTTGCTAGAAGGTGTTTTGTGAGGAGTATACTGAGTGAAATCGAGTCCTGGAACACTATTTAAAAAAAAAAAAAAAAAGGAACATGGATACATTTCAGCATGAATAATCTTCCCTTCTCTCTGAGGGCCATGCCATACATACAAAATGCAGTGGACTGAAAACATGAAAGTAATGTACAAGAATATAATATTCTTGTTACATACAAGAAAGCAGGGACATTAAGTTGTTCAGCTCAGATACATGGGAATTCAGAAGGCTTTAAAAATTAAAATTCATTCCCACCTCGTCCCTCCCCCTGCATTTCACAGGTATGTAAAATCTTACAAGTGTTTGGCACCCAAACATGCCACTTCATTTCTGTTACCAACTGAAGGCAGAACTAAGTCAGGAGATGCACCATTTTGCACTATACAGACCAAATCACATTTTCACCTTAGATCCTTCACAGAGACATGATTTGTGGTACTAGTCTGCTGCATATCAGTATCTCTTTATTGTACATTATTTGTAATATTTTTTTTAACACAAGAACTTCTGGAACATTTTTCTTTGTTTCTTAAATTAGGTGCTTTAGATATCCAAGACAGTACTTTATGGTGTTGCTTAGTGTTAGAATCTGTATCTGTCATCCATGTTTTCTGCATGCTTTGAAATCCATGTTAGAAAAGGCAGCTGTGAGCTGGGAAGCAGCTATGAAGATGTACCTGCAAGTCTATTGATGCTGATGTCAAGGAGCTGTTCATTTCACTAAAGCTATCTAAGGCTGCAGCCTGCACTCGCACATGATTCTCTAAGGATTCCTGATGAGCATTTGTCACCTGAGCAGGGGGAAAAAAAAATAATTATATAGAATAATGACCAAGTTTATCTATTCTTTCCAAGAGAGCTACACAAGAAAAAGATGCTAAGGTCGTTTTCATTTTACTAGGATGCTTAAAATATACAGGCCTCAAAGTATAATTTTACAAACAAACAAACAAAACTTAAAATCCAAATAATCTAACAGAAATAAGGCATGAGTATCTAAGTTTATTGTTAGTCTGCAATCACTGTATAAGCTGTTCTTTTTGGAAGGACAAGAGGACAATTGGCAGCTCTCTATTCAGAGAGATTATATACATAGAGTGGGCAGATTGTAAAAATTCAGAGTGAAAAGCAGAAGAATGCAAGAAATAAGGAAATCAGGAACTGTGAATTGTAGAAAGGCCCTAATTAAGAAGGAACTGACTAATCAGGTACACAGAGAAGCAACATCAAGAAGACTTAAGGAAGAAACAGTACAAAGCAGGAAGGGGAAGCCAGAGGGCTTTGTTGTGTGAAAATTAGTCATTTTCTGATATGTACACACACACATGCTTAAAAACTGAAGGGGGGGGGAGGGGAAAGACACAAAATAACATCATTCAAGAAGAGACCAAAACTCAAACAGTGTAAATAATTGTGAATGATCCAATAATAAAGAGGGAAAGAGTGTTACTAATGAAAGCCAACCAGCTCACATTCCTAGAGGGACCAGATTTGCTTCTTGATAAAAAGAGAAGAACACCAAAGACTGATACAGGGGACAAGTATGTAGTAACCAAGCCATACACAGATTAGGTCAGCATAGGGAGTAGAGGCCAAGTAGTCACTGTTAACCTTCCATAAATGTGTGCTCATGTAAAACAAACGAAAGCAGAAATGCTTTGGATGGATTAAGAAAGTTACAAGGCAAGAACATGTGAGAAGAAGCCCAGGGCAGGATACTGGAAGAGCAAATTTCAAACAACCTTTATGAATAAAAAGTTGTCCTGGAAATTGCGAAGATAAAAGCACAGTGATTGAAAGCTGAAGCAAAGAGTATAGAAAGGATTTTAAACAGGATTTGGAAATAGCACAAAAGACAACAGTCATGTAAAACCAAAATCAGCTCCCAAATAACTAACCAAACAAAAGCTCACATTATTAGGAAGAACAACATTTGTGCTTCCTTTCAGGCAGTCTAGAGTACTAAAAAAGGGAAGGATGTCTCCTAATGTGCCATTTATGTCAGAAGGAAGCTTCATGAACTGCTAATTTGCTGGAGAACTAGATATTCTGTCAGAGCTGGTCAGAAACCCTTAATTAAAGAAGAATTTCTGACTCATTCAGGATTTCTACTGGTCTGACAGAAGTTCTGGAAGTGCAGGATGTCATCACTGCTATTCAGTAAAGATCAGCAGCAAAGACAACAAAGCTGCACCTGAATCAGCATTTAGCACATGCATGCTGGGGGGAGAGTAGTGAGTCTTGTTTGCATTATGACTATTTAACACAGTTTGCAGAAATTGAGTTTTTTCTCTCTTCCCCTCAAGTCAGGGTGATTTTTTTTCTATTTTTTGAGACCAGTTGCACAGAATGAAAGTACCAGTTTACACCAAGTTCTGATTTTTGTACCTAATACAGCATGCAGGGAACTGACAGCCTCCGAATGAGGAAGGCAGAAGGGCACAAGTCAAGGTCCCAGTCCCTTGAAGTCAGAATACTTTTAATTGCCAAGTCTTCCTCTGAACCAGGACTGTGAAAATCAATGCTGAACATAAATTCAAAGCAAGTTTTCAGGGGGATTCTTTAGATCCAACACCTCAGCAGTTTAATATGAAGGCTATTTACAGAGTGCAACAGCTTTTATTGCTAAAGCAGCATGTCAGAAGAAAGACAGGTCATTGAATGACCATTGAAATGTTCCATTAAAAACCAAAAGGTAAATCATTTTTAGCACTTTAATACTCACGAATATTGCTACTTCTTTTACTTAGTGTTTCAACAACAGAGTCAGTAAAACAGAGCAAAGTGTTGAAATAACTCCAAGTTATCAATTTCTCCTAATTATCAATGTTATTTATTTGATTCACCTGCAAGCTGTTACATCCATCTCCATTAATTACCAATACATACTGGCAATGGTATCAAAATCATCATTTTGTTTCCAAGAATTTCCAGCCAGTTAGTAATTTCATATGCAAAAGCATCTCTGTCCTGCTTTACCTTCCTGGATGGAAAAATAAATAACAAAAGGAAACTACAGATTTCACATAAAACAGCAAATTGGAGTGGTTTGGAAGATTAGTTCTGTTCTGCTAAAGCAAAAGAAAAGTTTCTAGATAACACTGGGACAGTTATTCCCATATGCTTTCCTTGCAAATGAATGGGTACTTACTTTCAGTTCATTTGTAAGCTGCTGTATTTTTCGTTTCATTTCATCATATTCACCATACATTTTCTTTCTTACTTTTTCCAGAGTTGCTCTCACCTGGTGTCAGAAAAATCAAATGCCTTTATCAAAATTTTGGATTATACTGTTCATATAGTAGGACATTATTTTTTTCTCTATGTTCTTCATTGTTACTTTCTGTAATTTCCATTGTTAATCTACCACTGCATAACAGCAACTTATTCTCAAGGAAAAGACAAAAACTTAAGTCTCAAGACTTGTCTACACAGGGGTGATAGAAATAACTGTCACTATGACTAATTCCAAACCTCTGTGTACATGCTTAGACATTTATAAATTAATAATTTAGATAAATTAATTTCAATTAAATACCTGTAAGTCATTCTAATCTGATTACTAAATGAATTAAAAGTAATTTGATCATATATTGTTTTATTTCTGAAAAAAGGCATGGACTTATTGTACCTCCATACTTTTAAAAGCGGTTGGTTTCCTCTGGGTATCCTTTGCAGATAAACACTTTTAATTTCAGTCTTTTAAACTTATATCTAACTAAACAAAAAACTAGCTTACATTTACCAATGCAATTTCAAATCTGAAGAATGGAGAACTCAATTTGATTTCAAGAACTATGGATGCAAATTATTCTTTGCCTTTCCAGGAAAAAAAACACTCAAAAACCCCCAAGTTGGCTTTCAGCTTGGCTTTACATGCCACTGCAGTCATGTTTGCCTACAGCCTACGTAACTCAACCTCTTTTTTTCCCTTCTTCACCTCTGCCAAGCACAGGCTGATTGCAGATCATTTAGGTCAGTGAGTTTACTGTGTCTGCACAGTGGGGTGAGGGCAAAACTTCAGCACAGGATGTTTTTAGCTGCTCTGCATAGAATCCCCTCACTCCCAGAAAGAGGGGCACTGGCCACCAGACCTATACAAGGAGTGCTCCCTACCCACGGGCTCCCTTTGGGATGAGGAAGAGAGAAGGGAGCTGACACATCAGGAAAGCACCACTCACCCTGTGCCTCCCCACGCACAAGCACAGGCACACACCCTCCTGCAAGATGAAATTTGACTCAGGCAGAGGAAGCTGTCAGCAGCTCTGACATGGCCCAGCAGTTTTGGTCTATCTGAGTCAGCACATACATGGCACAAGCTGAGGACTCTTGTTCAAGATTCTGCTTTTAAAGACACCACTACTCTAGCAGACCAAAGATCACAAAGTAGCAGAGCTGAACATAGCATCCGGAAGACAGAAGAGCAAAAGCCAGCATGTCTCCTCCCCTGTCCTTCCCACTTTTTCCTGAAACCACCAGTACCCTGAATGCACAAGCAAGACATGCAGTTCACCTGGTGTGATGTGTCCCTCCATAAAGGAAGACAAGGCAGGGAGATGGTCCCAGCCCAAGCAATCCCCAGGTACCACAGACAGTGCAGTTTGGGGAGCTGGCCTGCTGTGTGCCAATTCACCTGTCCCTTGGCACTGCCCCAGCAGGGCAGAGAAACTACCTAGGCAGGAAAGCAGCAGCCAAGGCAGGCAGTGCGCCTCAGCAGCCCCACAGCACTGACAGACCCTGCCAGTCCCTAACCTCAGCCTGAGAGTGGTGAACACCTGGAACCGGCAAACTGGGAGTACTGAGGGAGAGAAGCAAGTGCTGATAGCCACAGAGCAGGCAGGCAAGGAGCACACATGATTACAGTGCTTTCCACTGCTGCTTGACTCAGGGTTCCTCCCTTCTCTATCAACTCAGTTTGCACTTGAACCAGTGTAACACAATAAAGGCTGACCAACAGCCTCCTGGGTGGTGAGGGTGGATGGAAAGAGGTCAGATTAATTCCCCTGATGTAATTAGGGTGTTACTGCCACAGCCTGAGGGACAAAGACTGATGGGCAAAGAGATGCTGAGTTCCAAGAACAGAAAAATTTCAAGCAGGATCATAAATGCATTTTGTGTTTTTCAGGCAATCTTCTGCCAACTGTGATAAATGAGCAGGCACAGAAAAAGTAGTACAAAGACATCCTTATTAGGATGACTATTTTAAGGCCGCCCCAAAATATACCCAAGTGACTTTACTATGTCACCTAATTTAGAAGCCTTTTCAAAGCTGAGGATTTTGGGGTCGGGGGAAGCAGAGGAAGAGGGAAACTATCTTTTCAGGTGTCTCCTTACATAGCTTCTTCCATCAGCAAGCACAGTTCCCAGGTATAGGGCATGATTTTTCCCAACTCAAATACTACCAAGGCCAGCCTCTATCTTCAGAGTAGGTTCCCAGTTCAAATGGAGATGTTGGGCTAGATATCAGTCATCCCATTATACTCTCACAGCTCTACATATATGGAAATATATGGATATATGGAAAGGGTATTTAACAAATTTTGAGGTGAAAGTGTAACTCACTTCTTTAATGTAATTCATCTCCTCTTTCAGCTGATCAGCTGACCAGCCATACACCACCATTTCTCTCTTATGGTTGTTGTCAGTTCGGTGCACAACACCATACACCATCCCATGAGAGAGCTTCCCTGGAGACATCCCATTTGGAACATGGTAGAGCTCCTAAAAATAAAAAAAAAATTTAAAAAATCAGTACTAGAATTAAAAAAAAAAAAACCCCACAAATAAAACCACCGTAACTTAGGGCCAGGAGAGAGACCAATCATAGCGAAAGCACAGCAGAACATATGAACACTAACTCACAAACATTTTGGAGTCAACCTGTCAACCTTCATGTTTTTGGAAAGAACAATGACCAACTTATAATTGATAAAGAATACAGAGATGCTTAATTACCACTGCCTTCAATAGAAGTCATCTAGGCACAGCTAGATACAACAGGCTGATTTGTACAAGGAGAGGCAGAGGCATGTAAGAAAAGGTTAAACTGGCTTATTTTCATTCACCACCAGATGTAACTTTTCTGCATTCTTTCAGCAACACTGTCAGGTCTCTAGCTCCCTCTAAACTCTTGCAACCACAGAATTATTCCTCATTTCTCAAACTCCCTGCTGCAGGAAAGAAAAATTCACAAGTTTACTCAAAAAACATAGAAAGTTCTAAGAAATTGAAATTAAAACATTTAGACAGTGTTCTTTAAAGGAGAAAAGATCTGTCTCTCTTGAAGATAAAGCAGAATTTGGAAACAGAGCTGTTACTGATAAGCTTTGCACATTCTGTTTGAAAGGTCAGTTCTAAAGAAAAATCAGGCATGGATTGTTTTACTGAATTTACTTTCTTATGTTGGATATACCACATACAGGTCCACTTGAGGACATTTACTACATTGACTTTAGAATAAGTTTTGGTTTTGTTTTTTTATTCTAAACATTGTCTAAATACTCTTTGACAACAAACAGAGGCTTAAAGAGATGAAGCTCAGCATCTTATATCCATCTGCAGCTGCATCCTGGAGATCTCCCATCCTTACCAGGACAGAGAAGAGAGGACACCATCTGTAGCCTAAAGCAGCAGCACTCTCAGTTTTTAGGAGCCAAATCAACACAACTATGCTGGCAATATAAGAATAAATATTTCTTTAGGTATGGGGGAAATTAACAGGAAAACTTGCTTGTATTAAAAAAAATTTACACAGACAGACATTTGTTTTATATTGTGTCCTTCCCACATGGCACTGACTGATTATCCTCAACACTGTAAATCCTATACGCTCTTCTTTATCACATCATTAATAGTTTAAGCATGTTGCTGAAGCTCTGGGTGTGTGTGTGCAGGGCTGGGAGGGGAACAATCACAGACAGACACCCAATAAAGAACATTTCAGGCATAGAATAACAAAGCTGTAAGCCTTCATTTGAGAAGAAAGTTTTAAAACCATTTAATGAAGAAAACATTGGGCAACCAGCCCTACCTATACATGATGTAATTTTGCACTTTGAAAACATATGCAAAGCTTCATGAAACATGAGATGTTTCATAATTATGTGTTATTGGGGGTTTGTTTTGCTGTTTGGATGTGCACAAACAAAAGTTCTACACCTCATACTTAGAAATAGAGAAATACAGAAACAAGATGGGGACATGACTCAAAATTATTTTGTGTTTGTTTGCTTCCAGGGTTGTACAGTTTCTTTCATAGGTCACTCCAGCTCCTCCCCTGCATCTGGAAAATGGGATTACACACAAGTTTCCATCTTCCTGATAACAGAATGAATAATCACTTTGATTGTTTAGAGGTTACCAAGGCACCAGACACTGAATTCATAAATCCATACCCTTTGCCCATGATCACTCATTTTTAATGAGGTGAACAGCTGAATACCAGCAATACCAAGGTCCTTTGTGCCTCTGAAACATTAGCAGAATTGTCTAAGTGCTGTTTGCAGAACTCTGGCATAAAAATTCTGACCAAGTTCCTTATTTTTAGAATATGATGAACACATTCCTAAGGAATGCTTTGAAGGATGCCTCCTCTCCCAGCCCACCCCCCACTCCCCAAGAAAGACCTACAAATTCAAACCAATGGGTTTGCAGCTGGAGAATCACCCATGGCACTTACATACGTATTTCAGAGATGAACAGACACTTAAATTTACATTATAATGGACAGTACATGCAGGATTAGGTACTCACAAAGGCAGAGTGGTAACATGTCACTTGCAACAATGCTAAAGTTGCCTGTTATCTGTATGTGCACAAGCCTCCCAAGATGCCTTTGTTACTTCTCTTTCAGAAGATTAAAGGACTCTCCATCATCTGTTGACTGTTCCAGTTCTATGTGCTACTTAAAATACAGGATATTGTTTTTACCCTCTCCTTATTCTTCCTTTGTATCACAATCGCCACACAAGCGCCTGTTAAAATTTCAGCTCTTGCTTTTTTTAAAGACGCGTGAGCCAACAGCTACACAAGTAACTGTTCTCATGTTTCCTTAACCTTTTTCATTGCTGTTCTATTCCAGCCATGCTTATCTTCTACTCACTCTTTTCTGTTTAGTAACTCTGAATTTCTTCTCAGTGACCAGTAGTTTCAGGGTTCTGTCAAACCAAAAAGGGGCTCACCTGATGCAGTCTCCTCTTAGGAGAAATGCTACAATCAGAAAACTCCTCTGAATGCAGGTTGAGATGGTTGCTTTGTTTGTTGACTACTTTTTCTATACAGCTTTGTCTCTAAACGAGGCTTTGCTGAGTAGCTCAGTTCTCAAATATCTCCACAGAACTGCAGCAGTAAGCATGCACTGAGTATAGTTCTGCCAGTTTGCCTCCTCTCAAGCTACTTTATACATCTTTGTCTATTATTCTCTCTTCACTGTTTTTTCCACTTCTGCCTTGTACTCAGTTCTTCCTCTGATACATCCTCTCTCCCATGCTTCCTCTTTCACAAATTCTGGATTTTCCACATGCTCAAGGACTACGTAACAGTAACTTAAATACTTCCCATTATTTTCCTCTGTGTCCCATACATACCCACTCTCAGAACTCAGATATTTTTCCAAGCAGGTCCTCAATGGTCTCCACTCTTATCTGCAGTGAGGCATCTCAGTGAAGATAACAGCGTAAGTAAATACATGCAAGAACTTAGGAGCAAGTAAATACCATAAAGCTAACCTGAATAGTGCTTTAAGATGGAAAGGTTAATTAGATTAATCGACCATTTAAGGTCAAAATATCAGCCAAATCCCTTCTAATGTGAGCTAATGATCTGAAAAGGCAGAGTTAGCTTAACCTGTTTGTGAATATTTCTTTGCACCTACAGTCAGTTCTACGACAGCCCAAGGTGACAGCAAGGACACATGGTGTGGATGCTGGCACGGCCTGGATCAGCCTGCAGGAACACGTCCTGTTTGCGCTGCAGCAACAGACAGCTGCGCTTGGTGTGATCACACAGAATGCACCAAAGAAACACAGACTGTCTTTACCTCACTAATAAATATTTAAAACAGAAGCCTACACCCCAAGGTTGCAAAAGTCTTGATAATTACCATGGATCCTGTTTATGTCTCTGTCCAAGGAGGCAGCACAAGTAGCATGAAAGAGGTGAAGACATTACAAAACTAAACCCTGAATTTAGTTTTTTGCTGATTTTTCTATGGCCTATGTTTTAATTTGCATTATGTAAATAACACTGAGGGGTGATATATGCTTCCTAATCTACCAGTTTTATAAATAAAAGTCAGATAGGCTCATATCTGCCCCAAAATTCTTCTCCCTGCCCCAAAATTGAAAGCAAAAGCACAGAAGACTCATATTTTTTGAGAAAAAAGGACATCTAATGTAATGCTTAACACAAGTCTGTGTTAAGTATCCCTGTGGCCTTGAAATTTTCCTGACTCATGATTTTCTGTTTACCTACACCATCAAAAAACTTTAAACAAGAATTACATCAGTCAAGCAAGGCTTTATCTTTCCCTTAACACCCACATTCCAGGCATTTCTACAACATCCAGTTATCTTTTATCTGTTCACTAGTTACACAAGGAACAAGAATATTCATGCTGTTACTGAGGTTACATATTTTCTCTTCAGTGAAATGACACATGTATAACATTGAGCTCACCACGAAAAGTTACTGTGCTCTGACAAAAAGTAGCTCTGTTTTTATGTCTTTTCATATTCCTCTACCCATAAAAATCATGTTACATTTAGGAGTGTTTTACACTCCAATTCAACTAGTATTACAATAGGGAAAACATGCCACAACAGACATGAGTGTTCTTAAATTCATGAAGAATGCAAGAAGCATCACTGAACACATTCCAACACTGAAGCTCCTTGGGTGTGAAATTTAGGTGTCCATCTCAAAAGAGAAGTGTCAGACATTATACAAAGTGATATCTAAACCCTGAAATCTGTACACAGAATGCCAGTGGTTACACATTGGGAAGCTAAGATACAACAAATACAGCAGTAACCTCAGAAGTCTGTGGAATTCTTTCTGTATTTTTTATGTACTATGTAGTGCTAGTTTTAACAAAGGTGTTACTTAATTAGTCCGAGTCAAAAATCAAGCGACCAGTGCTGGAGAGGCTGAGAAACAGTAACATCACCTGTAGCAGATGAACCACATTTTTTCAGGTACAAGTTCTGCTCTGCTGACAGGAGTGGGCTGGCAGCAGCAGAGAAAATAGCACTGTCCCAGATTCAATGTGCACCACAGCCCCACACTCACTGCACTCATATTTTTGAACCAGGCCTGACAAAAGTTTCTGCTTGATTCTCACCATGATGTACAGAAACAAATTCCCCTTCTGGCTTCTTTACAGCCTACTTTTTTTTGCTGGGAAAAAAAAAAAAAAAAAAAAAAAAAAAAAAAAAAAAAAAAAGTTTGCTATGCTTCTGTATTCTTGCTTAGGAAGTAAAAACAATTTCTTAGTTGTGATGTTTAAAAACCAATAAAATTAAAGTGTTTGAGGATATATGCAGCCCAAGTACCAACCTGAGTTTAAGACTAAACACTGCTCAATCTTGGCTGAAAGCCACAGACAGCAAAGTGACACAAATTTCCAGAGTGTTATCTAATTTTCATTCTCTTGTCCACATATCCAAATGAAAAAGAAATGTCTGTCTGTACATATCTTCACATTCTGCCCTCAAAAGCTTAGCTTCCAATGACACTTCCAAATTTAACCATGACAGTGAAGAAAGAGACTGATGGATAAAAACAAGCCCAATCCCAAACAGGGACAATACAATTGTCTGGAAGCCTTTTATTATGCAAGACAAGAGAGGCTTCAGGATATGCAGATTTTGCATACAATCTGCCAAGCACAACATTCCTTTGTACTTCATGGTGAAGTAAACAGCCTCACACTACTGTCACCCACTGTCTGTCATGGACAGAAATAATGGAACAGAATCAGAATAGTTTGTGATTCTCTCTACCTAAAGTACTAACAATTCAAACAACCCAACCAACCAGCCTCTACCTGTGAGTTAAGTTCTCATATGCTTCTTTCAGGGTCTCATATCCTAAATATGAGTATAAAAAATCCAACCTGACACAAACTCGCTCCCCCTTCAGTTTCTGAGATCAGTGTCTAACTCTGTACCATCTGCCAGCCTTTCACAAAAGGCAGGGAGAGGCCACCCTAGTACAGTATTGCCTGCAGCAATTTTCTTGCAAGAAAACCACCCAGATCCATAATTTCATTTTTAATCTCTTACACTAGTTCATTTTTATTCAATGGATGCATAGCAGTAAAAAAGTTAATCTAGAAATTTACTGCACTGATAGAGATTGAATAAATTTCCTGCCAAGTTTGGACTCCAATGAAAAAGGCTAAGGCAAGAGCTATCAACATAACTGATAAAGAATCACTTCTGGTCTGACATCAAGCAGCAAAACAAGCTATTGGCAGGATCAGCACTAGCAAGAGCTGCTGTGTAGTTCATTACCTGATTCTGCAACTGAAACACTTCTTAATGGTACTGAGCCTGAGAGATGCAGAAAAGTAACAAACACAGTGAGCCATCACCATGTCACACTAGGGCAGCTCAAAATCACCTCCTTCTAATGAAAGATTTGAAAAGGGAGATTACACCAAATGTCACGCCATGGTGTATTTATAGTTTTCTGGCATTCCCTCCGACACTGCAATGTCTTTTCTCTCCTCCCTCAGCAGCAGAGGCAGAGACTTGTCCTGCCCAAAGAGGAAAGCACCTGCAGCCAGGCTCTGACCGCCTGACTTGGCTGAGCACTCCAGCAAAAACTGTGCAATTCCACAGATTACCCCTACAGCTCATTTCTGTAAGTCACGTTAATGTATTGTAAATACCAAAAGCATTTTTCGTGTTCCCATTTTCTTAGGAGTCAGCAATTAAAGTCAGCACAGAACTCTAGATTCCAACAAAGGACCTGATGTTAAATCTGATTCTTGCTGAAGCTGGATTTTTTGACCTTAAATTGTAAAGTGCAAGGTAGAAAACAGAGCAGTTCCCTAATTTCTATTATCCCTATTTCCAAAAAGGGGCACAGGACTGTGTAAGGATGATCTAACATTTGTAAAACTTGTTCTCAAAGTGCTTGAAGTGATTTCATTAACATGAAGTCAGCTGAACATGGGTGACCAGCAGATACCTGATTACTGTTTTTAGGAGGTTTTTTTAATTAAACTGTGCAGTAAATCATCACAGCATGACTAATCATGAGGCATGTGTGCACAGTAAGTTACTTCAAATACATAAAGCAATCGATTAGACAGACAATAAAAATCTACAGGTAATACACTGCTGTCTGGCTTTAGAGACATGAGGGAAACCCAGTTCATGAGCAGTGATTTTTTTATAGCTGCTTCCATACACCATGGCTGTACTATCTGTGAGGTATTTTTCTTTGTCACACAGAAATTACAAAACACACGTAGTTGGCACAATTCCTCTGTGTTTTAATTGGTATGCAACTGGCTGAGTAGATCCCATCTAGCTCTGAAGCCTGACTTTTAAGTCTTTCAATTGTCTAAAAGCACTGAACTTTAGAAACTACTCAGAACATACAATACTTAAATTGCATACGGTTTTTCCTGGTCTCAGCTTATAAGGACCCATCTCTTAAACATCACTGTTTTGCACATAGAATCAAATAATGCATTTATTATCTCCATATCCTCTCCTTAACATTCTCTGATATAAAGCCCACTTGCCTTTACTTGTATTATGGGGGAAATAAAAGCTCATTAAATGCAACATCCCACGGAGAAAAACATTGGTCACATAAGACAATCACTACAAATTGTCCAGCCCTAATCCTTAACAATTCTTTCTCATTATCACATTACTCAGAACCATAAAGTGAGTAAGGCATGAGTAAATATCTATCCTCCTCAAAAGCAAACTCGGATTCCTCTTAGGGCAAGGGACCCATAAACTTAGGTCAGTCTGAGGGTTGCTGCAATCAGATACAAGCTGACAAGAGACTGACAGAGAAGCTACTCTAAGTGCTACAACTAAACAGCTCTGTTCAAAATGAATTATTACTATTTAATGGTGGCCCAAATTTAGTTTGCATTAAGGTCTATTTAAACTATTCTGTAAGTAATGTTTCTAGATCCTGAAGAACCAATTACTCTGATAGACCAGTGTATGAAAACCTGAGTGTATAAAAGATTCCAGGACAAAAACAACTGATAAGGAATCCTTATCTTGAGAATTTTACTTTGCATTTATTGTTATTGCTTAGAATGCCTTTCGCAGTAATTTTTGCCTTTAAGTATTTCTAAGAAAATATTTTCAGTAAACTCTATTGTTGTTTTTCTTTCTATTGTCAGACATTGAGTCTGGCAAAATTCATCAACTTGTTTAATTTTGGTTTATCAACGTATAATTGAATTCTTTAATTTCTTAGTTGTACATCACCCTTTACTGAAACTAGCTGGCACACACAAACATCAAGGGTCCCCAGCACACCAACTACATTAATGCTCAAATCTTGCACATTAAATCTGAGCCTACATGAAATATGAAATGCTTTTTTAGGATCGAGAGGATCCCAATCAAGATGGGATCCTCTTTAATACAGGACTGTGTTTAATACAGGACTGTGTTCCTAGTAGCAGTTTCCTGGTCTTTGACACATAAATATGAAATAAATTGTAAAGGCACCACAGTCACAAATCACCTACAATCTCTGTTGTTCCTCTACCACGTTCTATTTTGCATGCAGTTTTGCCATCCCTAACTCCAAAGCTTAGACTCAAAACTCACACCCAATTTGATGATCTTCCACATGTTCCTAAATCAACTTTGGGCTGCCAAAACAACAAATATCAACATCTATGGAGGGCAATGTTTACTCCTTGTTTATAGAGAAGTAAAACTTTGATTTTTAAAACTTACACTTTTCTTTCTCTCAGTTTCCTTTGGTCCCTGTTCAGGCTGTGACACTTCATCAGGTGGCACTGTTAAACGTAGCCTACACACATTCATCTGAAAGAAGAACAAGATTTAGGTGTTACAAAAATGATTTTAACAATTTGATGTACAGAATGAACTGTACTGAGATTCAACTTTGAACTTACTATTTTCTGCTTTCTACCACACAGCTGACAATTTTTTTTTTTAAGGTTAAAGGGGCTTTTAGCTGGCAAAAATAATTCAAGGGCATTCTCATAATTACATATCTGAAATAGCAAAAATCCCTTTCAATCAACAAATTGTTCTTAGGTACTCAAAAATGACACTGAGATCTGAGACAACAAAACAATGAACATAATTTTCTACTTTCTGAATTTTGTTTGCTGATTTGGCATACTTTTATTCTTCAAAAGGGATTGTTTAGAAACACAGAGTGTATTTTGGAGTAAATGCTTCATTTCTGCTCAGCATATAGCCAAGTATTTGATCCAAGGATACCTCAGTACTACAACTCCACTAAATTTGAAATAGGAGCATTATTGAAAGCTGATACATACAAATGGTTTGTAAAGCTTCAAAACACTTCAGAAAAGTTTTCCTTCAGAAAAAAAAGTGTTGTTTCCTATCTGATTTTAGAACAGCCATTCTCTTGCCAGCAGGCATGGTATCATTCTGCACCCAGCTGCAGTTTGCCTTGCTTTGGGCTGAGACATCTTTGGTTTAATGGTGTTTTCCAAACAATACATTTCATACAAGAAACTTTTGGTCTTAATCCTATTCATGAGACATTTTTGTGGAAAAAAATTCTAAGTCCTAAGCAGAGCGTAGCAAATGATGAAATGAGAAATTTGGCTGTCCTAATTCAAAGCAGCACTACACCTTCCTGTAAAATCCCAGCTGTCTGCTGGCAACAAAGAGAGCTCTCAAAGCTCTTCCTCAAAACCTCTTAAGTATCACTTTCATGATTACTGTGGGCCAACATCACTGTTCTTCTACAGCCCAGCATCTCATTGATGTGGATCTCTCCAGTTTCTCCCGGAGTCATGCTGAATGTGTGTCTCTCTTTCACACCCACCTTCCCACTGCATTTGTCCCAGCTAACAGCTCACATCTTGGTCATAACAGCACCTCCTTTTGCCTTGAAAATGGCAATAAAGTTCTGCTCACTGCATTCAGAGCACTGCAGCAAAGCCCTTCCCATACACCCCAAATGTTACCATTTTACAATTCATTGCTTCCAACTGTCTTTCAAATCATTTAAGCTGCCTTGACTGCATTTTCAAGCCTCTTTACAATACAATTTTCTCAGAGACCACTATTCAGCATCACAACATCACACCCCTATTTTCCATTGCCAGACAAAAGACCTTTTTCAACTTTTCAAACAGGCTTTAACATTTCCTTCTTCCCAAGTAAACACAGTTGGAAGAACTATCTGCAACTTCACAATTTTTTCCTGGCATTTCTTTAAATCTGTTGAGAGGAAAAATCAATAGCATTTAGACTGCTGGTATGTTGTCAACTGTATTTTAGAAATATTAGGTACTGCCTTCCATCTTCCTCTCAGTTTGGTCTTTCAGGTCTGCAAGGCCAGTAAGAAACAGGGTCCTGAGACAGATAAAGTTCTTATAAAATATGTGAGATGTGTCTGTATTATAAAGAATAAGAAGAGGGAAAAGTCTATAAGAAGATCAAGGTGAAACAGAAACTTTTCTGTAGACATATCTGTGAAAGAAATGTTTTGTGCAGTGGCCTCCTCCCTGTTAATTTATCATTCATACATGTGCTAGAAAACCTAGAACAAGAAGCCACAAAGTGACATAAAGCCCCCAAAACTTAAAAGCAGTTTATGCTTTCATATTTGCTAAAGAATACTGAAACAATGAAATTAATTTTAAAATTATGAAATTGGTACATTGGCTTTTGATACTGATTGGCTGCTATGTTTGTTCTGAGAACAGCAGACTGTCTCCATATACTACAGAAGCTGGTGGTACTTCCTACTTACAGATTAGTTATCCAGATAATGATAATACATTCCTCATCTTTAGAACTCATTGATTCACAAGGTAATTAACTTCACCTTTCCTCATCTATTTCCTCGTGCCCTTTCTTCCCATTAGCTTATTAAGGCTCTTTCCTCTTAAAACATTCCTGTTTACAACAAGAAGGGAAATGTAGACTGGCATCCCTCCATGGAGGCAAACAAAGCCCAGAGCCATAAATAGGAAATAGAAGTGAGTTTGTGCTGTGCAGGAAGTGATAGATGAGGCCACCTTTTTCTTGCAGTGATTTTGAACAAAGGAAAACTGGACAAAAAGGAATGAACATATTGCTAGGATAAAACATTAAAAATGCCTGAAATAACTAGAAATAGATAATGACTGGCAACTCACAGTTAAAAGAATGAGGTTGTGTATGAACCTCTGAAGCAAATAACTTGCCTATTAATCAGTACGAGGCTAATTATAGCCAACAGAGATTCAGAATGCAGTGATTGTAAATAAGTAATTATCCCTGTACCTGTACACCAAGTGAGTGAACACAACTGCCTTTCACATCACAGGTGTCACAGGACTACTATGAAGGAAACCACACAAGTCCAGTACAGATAGCAGTCAAGTCATCACAACTACACGGGAAATATAAATTAACAACAGTCATTTGTTGAGACTAAAACCACTGTACAACAAAAGGTTGTCATGGTTTAAGCTGTTTTTTCTTGCCCTTTTCACCTTGCCTTATCTGTTACCCCCAAATCACTTACCCCACCCCATCCCAACTGGCAATCATAAGGATTCCAGCCTTAAAATTGTGCCCAGCAAGGCTTGTACAGCAGTGGCACAGTACCACCCAGTTCCTTGCTAGAACAAACTTACACAGGCTGTACTCTGCCATTGTTTACAACAATGGGACTTCCTCAGCATCCCTGGGGAAACAGCAGCAAATGTATAAAGTAGCCATGCACTCCAGCTCCTCCTAGGCATCAGATGATGCATTCTACCTAAGGACGGCACTACAGACACATCTGCTAAAATTCAAAAACACTATGGAGACTAGAAAGGAAAAACAACAGGCACTGCTTTTTCCTCCAGCCCCTAGAAGCAGTTCTGAACACTGTACATGCACTGTTCCTGCTCTGCAGGGCTTCCTGAAGGAACAACACACTGTGCCATTTGTCGGTGAGTTTACTGACCAAATCAATGAGCAGGCTCACATGGAAATCACAGCAAGCCCTCCTCCCACAGCAAACACTGCTGTAGTGATGCCTTAAAATGGAAATGAAATCCTAACAGGAAGAGCCTCAACTCAGTGCCAAACAGTGGCAGGATAACATGCAACTGAGGATGAAAAAGTAATTTCCAGAAACAAACTGGGTAATTCAGAAAGAAAATGGGGAGGAGAATGAGAACTACTCCAACAGGGAAAGAGCTGCAATTCAATTTCCTTCATCTGCTTACTGACAGTAAGAACAAGTGAGAGAAAACAGGGACAGACATGACTCCCACCTTACCTTCATGTCACTAACATTGTACCTTTGTGAACATAAGTTTTAAAAAGAAATACTGGGTAGAAGAAGAATGAGGTATCTTTCTAACAATCCTACAAAACTGTTGGACTTTTGTTTAATTTGCAGCATCTGCAGCTTTGGCAAGCCAACATTATAAATCATCATAATTGTGCCAACATTTTATGCTCGTTCCTGACTTTTTGACACCAACAACCCATGAGTGGCATTTCCAAAGCTCATCTGACATCATTTGTGAAATGAAGACACAGACAGGAAAACAAGGATTGGACAGGTTCACCACAACACAATACCAGACCGCAGAAGCTTCCTGATTGCAATGAAAAGTAACAGGTGAAAACATATTTTTTACCAAATTTCTAAGAGGCTAGTGGGACAGCATAGAGGAGAGCTATTGTAATATGGCAGTTAGGAAAAAAAAATCTAATTTAGTTTAAAATGTTGAGAATCCATGGCCCAGGTCCACAATCCACATGTATGTTTACCATCCTACTCAAATCACTAGGGTGCAACTTACAACAAATACAGATGACAGATTCAGTTTAAATAATGTTCTTCAGCCCCTTCTTCTCCCTTTCCAAAAAGCAAAGCACTCAGAAAGGCATTATTCAGAATTAACTATGGGCTGAAATAATTACAGATTTTTTCATTAAAATTAATTGTTAAATTAGTGAGCAATGCTGTTATCGAATAACCAAAGTTACCAGTACAGCAACAGAAAAATAAAGGCTATTCTACTAGCAACCAGTCTCTAAGCATTTTACAGGACCCCCACAGAAAAAAGATGTGGTTCAATATTGATCTAGCTTGAAACCAGCCCTGGAGTTCTACATCACCAGAATTTAATACTGTTGGTACTGACAAAAGAAATGGGGATAACATGTTTGTAGAATAACTGCCTACTACCTTATCAGCTCAATAGCTAAAAATCCTTCCCTTTAACTAAGGTCAAGTGTTGGCTCTAGACCTTTGAAGGTGAAAGCAGACAAACAGTGCATGTTTAATTTCAGTCGTAAAAAGCAAAGAAGTACTTTCTTTGGTCATTTATCTGTTGATTAGCCTGCTCCATTCATGAAATCTCTCCCGTGAGATTCCACACACAATTAAACGGCACTTTCTTGTGACCACAGGCACACAGGAATGTGACACACATCTTCCTTTTATTCAGCAGTTATTCTAATTGTCTCTCTCTCCTTTTCTAACAACTCATGGTAAGGCAGACACACTTCACTAAAAAAAGGGACAACGGCTTCCCAGTGGGTTGCAGTCACAAATTAAATTCCTACCAGTTTTCTTAAAAGAATGTATCAAATGCAGTTCATCATTCCCAAGAAATCTATCAAGAGGATTAAAATAAGAAGCTTATCACCTGAACAGAAGTTCCCTTACTGTAACTAATTTAAGAAATATAGAACAGAGAAACCCAATTGGAAAACAGAAGACGTACAGGGAACATAACTATGATTTTCAAGTCACCATAATTTTTCTTATGCATGAGCAATTTCATTTTTATGAAGACTAGGGATCTTTTTGTCAGGAAGACCACTCTGATTTTCTTGCTATTATGTAAAACCAGAACTACACAATATTCTTCATTTTTTAGATTATGAACTCATATTTTTGCAGCATCAAAACAGTAACTGCATAATTCAAGAAACATCATGGTCACATGGATGTATTTTTGGTAACAATATGATTATCACTTTTTTTTATTTCTTTCTTCTCATGTGGAATCAATATTCACAATGATAGCAGTGTAGTTACAAAAGCAAGAAAAGGGCTATTTAAAGCTGAGTGGCTGTAGAGACATTCCTATCATATCTGCCTTAGTTTTAACAACTTTTTAGAAGCCAAACAGATTTAAGAGATAGTTATTATTTAGTGCATTTATGATTTTTTTTTAAATTAGCAAATTACATATCTGCATTTGAGGAACTGATTAAACAGTTAAATTACTATTGCCATCTAAATCATTACAGTGAGCTTTCTCAGGACAGGATAGGCGAGCTCGCATTGTAAATATCCAGGCACATTTCAATGATGCAGGGGAAGTCTTCAACACAAGTACACCTTCCTCGCAGGTTTACAGAACAGGTCAGGGTCTAGATCTACAAAAGCCTTGCAGGACTCCCCAAAAACTCTTCTTTTCCCCACACCTACAAACAACGCACAAAAAGATGCTCTCGCACACCCCAAGCTTCACCTGAAAACACCGAAATGTGACGGTGGTAGAAAGAGAAAGGCGCTCCGCAGGTAACTGCACGAGGGGGGATGTCGAACCTCCGCTTCGCCCCGCGACCCCGCCCGCGGGACCTCCCCACCGCCCCCCGCGCTGCCCCGCGCACCTTCCGCCGGGAGCGGCCGCCGTCGTCAGGCGGTCTCCGGGGGGTGGTGGCGGTCACCGTGAGCCCCGAGCTGTAGCGCAGCATCCCCGCGGGCCGCCGGGCCAGCTCTCTCTGCGGCTCCTCGGGCCGGCGCCGCCGCTCCGCCCCCGCGCACTTGGCCGCGGGCGGCCGCAGGGGCCGGGCGGGGGCGGGCCGGGGCTGCGCGGGCTCCGCTTCCCCCTCCGCCCCGCGGAACTCGGGCCACAGAAGTGCCCGATTTCACCCCGTGGCGTGACACTGGGCAAAGTCGCTGTGGGACGCTGAGGTGCCAGTGCAGGGAGGCATTCCCTCTGCTCACGGGAACGTTGGGTGTCTGTGTGCAGCCTGGGGAGAGGAGCTTCGAGGGGAGACCCAGAAAGGTCCATCTGTCACACAGCCACCTCCCGGCACTGCGAAACGGAGGTTATGGCTCGCAGGAGCCACTGGCGGTCACTCAGTCCCGTTCCCCGGCACCCACCTCTGAGCACTGTAAAAGAGTGTTACGTGAAAGCTGAACACCGTCCTCCCCTTCTTCCCACAGCAATTCGTGAGCCACCCAGGTCTGTCAGTTGTTGTCCGTGCTCCAGGAATGGGTACCAGGCTCGTCAGAAAGCACGCAGATCCCAGCCAGCCTCGGGGTTGACAGGCACAAAGCCGGCGCAGCTCAGTGCATGAATGACAGCATCGGCCTCAGTGCCAAAGGTCCAACAGGATGAGTATGGTCTGCCCGAGCCGGCTGGCCCCGAGCCAGATTGCAGGTGTGGACTTCAGCATTTCAGATGCTCAGTTCTTCCGCATCTGGGCTGAGGGAACACCATAACCCTATACCATCCTACACGGCACACAATCTTCAACCTACAGCCTTGGGCATCTGTAATGAGCACTATATTCCTCAATAATCAAGAGAGTTATAAGGAAAGGAGATGCTTTTGTCTGAAAGAAATGACAGAACAAATAACTTAAACAGCATTTTAAAAATAACTTTTCTCCTGTCTCCATGTAATTAAATTAAGACCACAAGAAAACAGTTATGGCTACACAATGTCCTTGCCTATTATGATGTTAACGACCAGAGAGCTGAAGAGAGGAAATCTGCATTAGAAAAATGGAAACTGCACTGAACTGTGGGTGCCTCACCCTCTCTGTGTACAATGCCTCTGCTCCTTCTGCCTCTCAGCTTTCTGTCCCCAGGGCAGGACATTGAGCTATGGACATGACGAGGATCTGAGCAAGAGAGGAAGAAATAATTGCCCAGTGCAGAGGAATGAATGAAGAGTCTGCATTTAGTATTCAGTATCTTTTTTGTTGTTTTCCCAATTACTATTCTCTTCTCCTGGGGAAGGTAATATAGCCCAAGGCAAATGAATGAGAACATCCACTTGTACTTGGATTTCTCTCAAGGCAAGACTGAGTATTACACGATTCTTTTTGTGGCAAGGTGTCTTGTTCTTACAAACAATTGCATTTCCCTATAAATCACCCCTGTCTTAAGTCCTGCTTGTAATGCTGCTTTTGTGGGTTTGCAGTTGGGTAATAGGTGTGTCATCATCAAGAGGAACATGTTCCTTCACAAGTATGTTGTCTACCCATAGGGTTATCCCTTAGCACGTGTCCTGGTCATTCTGGTGAGTCTGTTTAAATTCTGGTATGCAGACAGCTGGTGATCTCTGCGGTTTCAGCTGAGAAGGAGTTCACACACCTGTGAGATTGCTCTGGTTAGATACAAGTTGCATCTTTTTGACTGTATTTCCCTCTGGAGCAAGGTGTATATGTGGAGAAGCCCAGTCGATGCAAGGCACAAATACAACTGCTTTTCTAAGAACAGGCACAGAGACTAAACTTGTACTACACTAGGGAGAAGGACCTCCCTTCCTATATGGTAAGAGTATGGCACAATAATAATTGACATAAGAGAGTAAGGCACAATAATCAGATCTCTGGGAAAATTTGCAAGGTCTGCATCAACTTTAAGAATATTGATCATTTTGATGGAAAATTAAAAAATAAGTACAGATGAGGAAAAGACTTGTCCATGAATAATAGACAGACAATAAAAATATTATTTTCTCAGTTATGTCTATTTTAGTTGCAGCTCTCCCCATTTCTTGGAAAACAGCAGAAAGACTTATTTGATTTACCAATATTAGTTTGAAAAGGAGCATCTTCTATTTAATCCTCAAATTAATATCCTCCAAAAAAACCCCAAAAACCTACATGCATGGTGAGTAGTATCTCTGTTTTGGATACTCTCAGAATCACTTCCCTTCCCCTGCCAACAAGATGCACAAGTGTAGTAATGAAAGTAATTTGTTTGCTGCCTTACTACTTGACCATGCAACCATTTGCAGTCTCTTCACCCCTTGTGTAGCCTGTGTGACCCCTCTTTGCATGAAAGCAACATTTGGAACAACTTTTTCTTCATCCCCGAAGCTCTGCCTACACTACAGGGATTCTGGAGCCAACCACTTGTATGGAGTGAACATCTGGTACTCCCCAGGTGGGAGAAAGAAAGCTCAAGAGAAGCTGTTGAAGCAGTATGAGACATACACAAAAGAGCTGAAAAAAAGAACTCTAGAATTATTTTTTGATTAAGAAAGGAGAAGCAAATTTGTGATCTTTGGCTTGGACAAAAGACAGTGGCAGGGAATGGGTGACAGAGGCGTAGAAGATCATGACTGGTATGCAGAAGTGAACAGGGAATAGCTGTTCATTATTTCCTACCCTTGAGAACAGTGGATTTGAAGAAAACCAGGCACCACATTTCTGTGTGAAATTATGTCAGAAGAATCACTGATCATGAAGAGTTTAAATGCTCCTGAAAAGTAGCTGGGTAAGCTCATGGAAAACAAGCTACTAGGGCTATGAAACAAGAAGACAGGCCTACAACTCAGAAGGTCCCTGAGATGTGGGTTTGCTTTGTCCCAGTCAAAGGACCTCTGACACTCCCTTGTTCTCCTGGGCAGGACTGACTCCCCACCAACAGTACTGGAGGTGACAGGCTTCTAGCAAGCAACAGGTCTCCTCAGCTCTGCAAAGGTGTTCCCATGCCCAGCTGTTGCTTGCCTTGGGCACACTCTGCACATATTCATGGCTGCAGCTCATTATTCTGTTTGGCAGTCTCTCTCACCCCCTTTGGAGGTTTAACACAGTCACTCCCTCTTTCTCCACAGTCTCTCTCATTCACTTCCTGGCACCTCAGGGAGAAGTCTCTACTTGGTTTCAGCTCGTCCCTGACCAGGGCCCATGACCTTACCTCCAGTGCTGATAATCTGAAGTAGATTTGCCACAGTTTACAGCTCTTTTTTCCTGCAAGAGTCATTGTACACTGCTGTGAACACTTCATACTCTGCTTGGGATGTGGCACTGGTTTACAGAAACAAGATGGAGGAATAGAAAGTAAATCACTAGTTGGGAATTAGTTTGACTAAAATAACTCTATTCTGCTGATTTTTACAGCTGGACAGAGTGCCCAAAAAGTATACATAATAATACAGACTGCTAACAGACAATATACAATATGGTGGCAGAACATAATCCAACCAGGATGCTTCCAGTTCAAAACCTGCCAGTGCTTTCTGACTACAATGGTCCAAAGGCACAGTAGGTTAATTACATGATTACATTACAGTATGAATATCCGAAGCAATAGTTATTGTGAAAAAGCTAATATAATTACATAGAAACAGCAAGAAATTTAAAGTGTAGGCACCTTCTTTGGTTTTTTGTAACTACCCTGTTTCCCATCACCAGCACTACTGAAATATTTTTTTCCCAGGAGGCCCAAAGACCATTATGCTGTAGGAAAAATGAAGTGGGATGGCACAGAATGAACAGGCCTTTCTATGAAAAGACCCTGATCACAAGATGGACATAGAGCATGCAGTACATGGAGGAGGAAGGTTTGCCCTCCTGAAACAGCAGGAGTGGGTAGCCTGGTTTTACCATTAAAAATTGCCTAAATGTAGACATGCTAAAAAGCTGATTTTTTTTTTTTTTAATCAAAATCTCCTGTCCATCTTCAGGTTAACTGCTGACATAGTCCAGAGGAAAAAGAAAAGTTCCTGTAACACATTATCAAGTGGAATATTAATCCTATGAGATTTGGGAATAATTGCAGTCACAAATTGTACAAGAACTCATACCTGTGGTCATTAAGGTTATAAAGTCCCATTCGTATTGCTACAAAAATGAGGTTATAATTAACTTCTAATAGCCTTCACTTTCCAGGGGGATTAAGATCTATTCTTCCTTCATCATCCCTAAGGCATGAAACCCATTATGGCAGAGATTATCAAATGGACAGATGCATGTAAAACATTTCAGAACCAGACTTAGTAAGGACTGGAGGCTTGATCAAAGATGTTTCCTGGAAGCTGTTTCTTTTTTTCTGCCAGCTCTCACTATTGTGTTCTACAAACACATTTAGCTCAGCACCATGTAACTTCAGGCTCTCTTTTTTGGGTATTACAACTCATGTGAAAATTGTAGCCCGCTAATGGTTATAAAACAGCCTGATACATATCAGAAACTGAGCCCCCAAAGTCAGTTGCCATAGGTGCTCTTATATGCAATATACAAACCAATATATAATATTGTGCAATTTTTCTCTTGAGTAGTATTTTGTCTTCCATTGTCAAATACATCTTTGCTGCATTTGCAGCTACTGTTACCCTTTTAATTTGATGTAACACATACAGCTACCTGAATGTTCAGCTTGGTTTAGCTACAAGCATCAAATCACTTCTCAGACCTATTGATATAACTGTTTGCTCTCCTGCTTGGTACATGGCTAATACAAGATTACTGCAAAAACTCAGAGCCTTTCCTGCTGATCTCACACACATAAATCTATAATTAGGAATTCCTACATCAGGAATTTGAAATGCAGAATATACATTTTATTTGTGCAAAACCCTCAGTATATATTTTATGCAATTATTTCAGTTATGGTTGAATTGAATAAAAATTAAATTCCTGGAGTTGCCTGCAATAATACCTTGCTTCCATTTTTACTGATAATGTAGAGTCATAGACTGCAATTGTAGAAAATGTTTCTTTTAATATCTTCTGCTTTTAATTGTTGTCCTACTTTCTACTTAAAGTCCATCTTCCTGTTCAGTTCTCAAAATACTTTTTAACTATGTAGCAACAAAGTAA